TCTGAAGTATGTTGTATCAGCAAGGATGAAGCCTCAACTTGCCTTTTCATTCTTACCTCCCACTAACTCTTCTGGTGATCCATATTTTACTCATTCAAATGAATTTTCATCTTTCAACACCATTCCTCTTTCTTTGTATCAGCAACAGAAGGCTTTCTTCTAGGTGTTTCCTAAGTCACATTTAATTTATGTAAGCATGTTCATTTTTTTAAAGTTTTTTTTAATTTTGAAAGTATTAAAACTTACAGAAAAGTTGCACACATAGCATAATGAACTTTTTTTTTAACTGACTAATTTGAGAGTAAGTTGCTGGCATGACACCTGTGGTGGAAATTGAGATGCATTGACCAGATACCCTTCAAGGAAGGACTTGTTGCTCAATTGTGGGGTCAACAAGCATCTGTCCACTGTCATTCCCTTCAGGGTTGGCCTCATCTGCAGAGAGCTACCTTGCCCAAGGAGATGCCCCTTTCCCAGGTGGCCCAAATCCAAGGACTGATCAAGGGAAGGATAGAGCGGCCTGGCTATTTTGGCCCTGTGCAGGGCAACTTCAATGGGCCATTTCTGCTCAAGAGCTCCCAATGGGGTTAGTTGAGTTTATCAGCCTGTATCTCAGATCAACATCTTCCTCTGCCCAATTCTGTTTTCTTTCTTCCAACCCATAGACATGGATCTCAAGAGCTCGCCTTCATAATTATCCTGAACACTAAAGTCTGTCTCAGAGTGTGCTTCCTGGAAAACCCAAACTGCCACAGTTGGAGCCAGGAGAGATCGAGAAAGAAGATGATAAGATGGGGTTTTGAAGCTGGATCACTACCCGGCTGGTATGAGGACCTCATCACTGGTGATGGGTGGAGCACAGATAGTCCCTCGCATAAGGTAACAGTACAATTACTAACACTTTCATCAGTGGTGAATTGGGATAATATACTAGGGAAAGAGAATGTATTAGTTGATACCATATATGGAGAAAATAGTAACTATAAGGACAGTGGGATTGGATGGTTATTGCTTAGCTCTATTAAAGCTCTAGGAGAAGAAAACAAAAAGCTAAGAGAGTGGTTAGTAGACAACTGAAAGCCAAGTATGAAAGCCAGAGGGTCTCTTTGGCAAAGAGGCTTTCATAACCTGCAGAGGGAGTGCAGAGAAGGCTGAGGACCAGACCACACTAAATCATCAGTGTGGCCAAGCTCCAAAGAAGGTTAAACTACTAATAAACTAGGTCTCCTAATCCAAGGACAGGGCTGTTGTTGGGAAAGAATGAGACCCTGACACATGGGATGGGGACATTTGAATTGATGCCCCCCAATATCTTATATTCCCAGGTTCCTTTTGATCCTCTGAGCCTGCAGAAGTGAGCCACCCTTTTCTACTAAGAGCCATACACTCCCCTAGCTTGAGACAATGCCAGGGCCTCTTCCTGCAATACAACATGTGTCTCCTCAGGATCTTCCCCCACCAACCCTCCTGTCCACTAAATCTATAACTAGGGTTAAGTGGCAGCATAATCCAGCTGGGGGCATGCTAGGCCTGAGAAGGGAGGAAAGAAACCATATCCCAAAGGAGTGAAAAGATTTAACCAGCATGGATTGCAGGAGGTGGGGGAATACACATGGGACTAGATTCTGAGGGTACTTGATCAAGGGGGATAGAACATAAGATTCAAAAACAATTTGGGTACATTCTCCCAAAATATAAGATTTATACTCTGTCAAAAGACCCCAGGAATTGGTGCAAACTTACTAGTAAGATGGCTCCTATGAAGCATGGAAAAAGTGATGACCCATGCTAAGAGATATCAAAATGCCATAAATGTCTTGGCAGATGGTAGAGGAAAGGATTAAAACACTGAGGGAAATCAAAAATAATAAAATACCTAGGAGTAAATTTAATAAGACGTATACACTGAAGACTACAAAACTTTGTTGAAGGAAATGAAAGAAGACCTAAATTAATGGAAAGATATTCCATGTTCATTTATTGGAAGATTAATCTCCAAATTGATCTGTAGATTCAAGGTAATCCCTATCGAAATCCCAGCTGGCTGTTTTGCAGAAATTAACAGACGGATCCTAAAATTCATATGGAAATGTCAGGGACCTCGAATAGCCAAAACAATTTTGAAAAAGAACAAAGGTGGAGGGTTCAATTCCCAGTTTCAAAACTGACTACAAAGCTATAAAAACAGTGTGGTACTGGTATAAGGATAGACATGTAGATCAAGGGAATAGAATTGAGGGTCCAGAAATAAACCTACACATTTATGGGCAGTGGATTCTCAACAAGAATGCCAAAAAAATACTATGAAGAAAGAATCGTTTTTTCCAGCAAATGGTGCTATCCACATGCAAAAGAAAGAGTTTGGACACTTATCTCCCAAAATACACAAAAATTAACTTAAAATGAATCATAGTCTTAAATGTAAGAGCTAACACTGTAAAACTCTTAGAAAAAAGTAAGCGTGAATTTTTGTGACCTTGTATCAGGCAATGGTTTCTTAGACATGACACAAAACACAGTCAACCAAAGTTGCACTTCATCAAAATTAAAAGCTTTTGTGCTTCAGAGGACACCACCAAGAAAGTCAAAGACAACCTACAGAATTGGAGAAAATATTTGCAAACCGTATTCTGATAACAGTCTAGTATCCAGAATTTATATATATATATATGTAAACTTTACTCAACAGTAATGACAAATAACCCAATTTTAAAATAGACAAAAGATTTGAATGGTCATTTCTTTTTTTTGAATAGTCATTTCTTTAAAAAAGATATACAAATGGATAACAAGCATATGAAAATATGTTCAATATCAGTAGTCATTACAGAAATGTAAATCAAAACCACAATAAGATACCACTTCACACCAATAGAATGACTATAATAAAAATTTTTTGAAAAGAAAGAAAAAGAAGTGTTGGTGAGGTTGTGGGGAAATTGGAACCCTCATACATTGCTGCTGGGAAGGTAAAATGGTGCAGCCAATTTGGAAAACGGTGTGACAACTGCTGAAAAAGTTAAGCATAAAGTTACCATTTGACCTAGCAATTCCTCTCCTATGTATATTCCCCAAAGAAATGAAAACATAATGTCCACACAAAAATTTGTACACAAATGTTTAAGGCAGCATTATTCATAATAACCAAAAGGGGGAAACAACCCAAATGTTCATCAACTGATGAATGGATAAATGAAATTTGCTATACCCGTACAATGGAATACTCTTCAGTTATGAAAAGGAATGAGGGGGCTTCCCTGGTGGCGCAGTGGTTGGGAGTCTGCCTGTCGATGCAGGGGGCACGGGTTCGTGCCCCGGTCCGGGAGGATCCCGCATGCCACGGAGCGACTGGGCCTGTGGGCCGTGGCCGCTGAGCCTGCGCGTCCCGCAACGGGAGAGGCCCCAACGGTGAGGGGCCTGCGTGTCACAAAAAAAAAAAAAAAAAAAAAAAGGAATGAGACTGATATATGCTACAACATGGGTGAACCTTGAAAACATTATGCTAAGTGAGAGAAGGCAGACAAAATGCCACACATGTTGTGTGCTTCCATTTAATGATATGTCCAGAGTAGGCAAATTCATAGAGACATAAAGTAAATTAGTGGTTTCCAGGGGCTGTCAGTAGGGAGAATAAGGAATGACTGCTAACTGACACAAGGTTTCATTTTGGGGTGATGAAACTACTCTAAAATTGTTTGTGGTGATGGTTGCCCAACCTTGTGAACATACTAAAAACCTATAAGTTGTGCACTTCAAAATGGTGAATTTTATGTGTGTAATACTATCGCAATTTTTGAAAAAGGACACAGGGAAGTGGGCATGTTGGTATAGCTGTACTATGTCAGGCCAGAAAACCCACCAGATGACTCTTCCATAGGAGGACCTGGAGGATACACCATCTACCAAAGCAATAAAGAATGTGCTGGTGAAAGGGCACCAGAATCACTATGAAGTTCAGGAGCGGCTCTCTTTTGCAGGCTGGACTGATGATGGTAGGCGATGCTGTTATAAAACTGACTTCCTTGTTAGCAATGGAGTTAATACAACCCAGAGATAATTGAAGCAGGTGGCATCACACACGTGTCAGAAACCGTGTGGACGCAATTCTGATAATAAGCAGCAAGATCAAAGTGGCAACCAGGGGCCCCTGACCTGCAGAGAGTTATGGAGATAATTAATAAAACATGGTGTCACTTGCTGAAAAATAGATGGGCAGCCAATAAGGGTACTAATCGGTTTGTACAAGCAAAAGAAAACAAAGAGGGTGTAGGGAATGGAACTATTTGGGAGCAAAGTTTTTGAATAGTATTGAAATTAAGTTGGTATTAATCTGAACAACATTGTTATAAATTAAGATGTTAATCATAATCCCAGCAACCACTAATAACTCAAATATATATATGACAGGGAAATTAAAATGTTACATTGGAAAATATCTTTTTAACACAAAAGATGGCAAAATATAGGAATAGAGGAGCAAAAAAGCTATGGCATATGGAAAAGAAGGCAAAATGGCAGTTGTAAATCCTTCAATATAAAATGACTCAGCCAGTTGATCCCCCCTTGGTCAATGACCACACCATTTCTGGCACAATGGATACTTGAAGAAAGTGGCCATGTGGCAGACATTGAGGCTATCCTGGGCCCATTAGCATGGGTTCCCACTTATCAGTTATTGCCTCTGCCAAATGTCCACCTTGACAGCAAAAGAGATCAATGCTGAGCTTCTGATATGGCACCATTCCTCAAGGAGCCCAACGAACAAGTTGGTGGCAAGTTGACTGAAAGTTAGAATGTTTTGTTCTGACAGGAATGGACAAATATTCTGGGTAAGGATTTTTTTTTTTTTTTTTTAGCGGTACGCGGGCCTCTCACTGTTGTGGCCTCTCCCATCATGGAGCACAGGATCTGGACGCACAGGCTCAGCGTCCATGGCTCACGGACCCAGTAGCTCCGCGGCATGTGGGATCTTCCTGGACCGGGGCACGAACCCGTGTTCCCTGCATCGGCAGGCGGACTCTCAACCACTGCGCCACCAGGGAAGCCCTGGGTAAGGATTTAAAAGTCTTATCTTCAGGCCTCACTCTGGGCTTAAACAATATTTGATCCACCAGCAGGGGACTTCACATAACATTGCATCAGACCAGGGGACCCAATTTACAGTAAAAAGATGTGAGAGTGGACCCATGACAATGGTATCTGCTGGTTGTATCACTTACTGCAACACCCTGAAGCTTCTGGCCTGACAGAGTATTGGGGTGCCATGCTGAAGGTATGGCTGACGTGTTAGCTGAGATGCAATGCTCTGTGAGTGCCATCCCCCTGGATACATTAAACACATTGAATCAAAGATCTTTATTTGGTGCTGTGTCCCCAACAGGAAGAATACATGGGTCTGAGAAGCAAATTATGGAAGTACGAATAAACCTGCTTATCATTATTCCCAATGACCCAATGGGAAATTTATGATTCCTGTTCCTGCGATTCAGAACCCTGCAGGGTCAGAGGACCTTGTTTCTAAAAGGGGAATATTTCCACCCAAGGATACAGCAAAAGTCCCTTTGAACTACTAGCTTAAACTTCTGCTGGGCACTTTGGGCTCCTAGTATCCAGGGATGAGTGGGCTGGAAGTAGAGGAATCATCTTAGCAGGGGTATTAACCCTGATCATCAGAAGGACTTATGTCTGTTGTTATACAATAAGGGTAGGGAAGACAGTTTTAGCACTCGGATGATCTACTTGTGTGCTTCTTGTTATTCTCTTGCCTAGTTGCAATAGTAAATGGATAATGCAGCAAGGACCTGGCGACCAGGAGCCCAGACCTCTCTGCGATGTGAATCTAGATCATGATGCCAGGTAAGTCACTGAGGCCAAGAGGAGTGGTAGCTGAGAATGAGAGGAATTTAGAAAGGATGGTTGAGAAAGGAGGCTGTAAGTTTCAATTGCAGCCCCAAGACCAGCTGCAGCAGAGAGGGCTATCGTTTGTTTGTCCTACAAGCCTTCCTCTTCTAAGTTTCCCCAGGAGGAGAGGCTCATCAGAAACCTGAAGAAGCTACTCCTCAATGCATATGAACAATTAGATCCGGGAGCCGCACAGGGAACGAACGTGGAGATGACCCACTGAGATTTCCCTTTGCAGAGGGACTTCTTGTCCCAGCTACTTGGGGCACTGTCAGCAGACAGCCTTTAGGCTTTTGGCAGCAGAGAGCTGCCTTATCAGAGCTCACACCCCTTTGGAGACAGCTTACATCCATTAACTGATCAAGGCGTGGTTTTAAAGCCCAGCCATTTCAGCCTGGTTTGGCACAATGCTGAAGGACCGTTTCAGCTCCAGAGCTCCTCATGGGGTCAGTTCAGGCTACTGGGCTTTCCTTATATGCAGCCTGCTTTTCCTTCCGTCTAAGCCTGCTTCCTTCTCTTCTATTCCACAGGTGTCAATCCCAAAGGCACTCCCTGATAAACATCCTGGACACTAAACTCTGACTCAGAGTCTTCTTCCTGCAGAGCCTGAACTGTGAAAATGCCCTGTCATCACAAATACTTTTAGTATGTATATTTTACTAGTGAATATTCATCTAGATAACCCCAGTACAATATCAAAATCAGGAATTTAACATTGATATGTTACTGTATAATCCTCATACCCCATTCAAATTTTGTCAATGGTCACAATAATGTCCTCTGCCCAGAAATTGTGCATTGTATTTAGCTGTCTCTTCAGTCTTCAATCTTGAACGGTTCCCTAGTCTTTGCTTTACTTTCATGACCTTGATACTCTTTAAGATTACGGCCACTTATTTTTGTAGAATGTCCCTCAGTCTGGGTTTGTCTGAGGTTTTGTGATGATTAAGTACAGGTTATCTTCGGTGGAACGATTAGAGAAGTGATGCCATGTTCTCACTGTATCCTATTAGGTGGCACATGACTTCAATCTGTCGTGTCACTGGTGATGCTAACTTGATTAAGGTGGCATCTGCCTTGTAATTAAGTATTTTGTGGGGAAGTACTTTGAGGCTATGTAAATATCCCATTCTTCATAATACTTCCTAGTTATTCTTTTTAAAATTTATATCTGTATTAGCCAAGGAATTTCTATTTTATTCAGTGGACAGTAACCCATTACTGTCGTTATTTTGACACTTGGACTGTTCCACATTTGGTCACTGGAAGCCTCTTCAAGTTGGCTTCTTTATTCTCTTAACATAACTCCATCATTCTTTTGCACTTCCTTGCTTGCTGCATGAGATAGTCCAAGCTTATTTTGTACTTTTCCTGCTCCAGCCCTGGAATCAGCCATTTCTCCAAGGAGCTCTGGTTCCTTTTGGCAGAGAATGGCATTCAGAAACTAAGATCTTAGCGTTAGATGTGCTCATTGCTATTGAGGTATCAACTGTTCTTAGGCCCTTTCAGCAGACAGATCTAGGGAATATATGAAATATATGTATGTATATGTATATATGTATTTATGTATATAAATTTACATTTATGTTTACACAAACACATTTTACATCTATATTTCTATATCTATATATATTCAAAATCATGAGTTCACACTGATACCTCCAATTTCAATCCAATACCAACTAGTTCATTCTAGTTTTTTCATTATTCATATATGTAACTACCATCTCTACCAGTAACAAATGTAACTCCCATTATCCTTAGTATGACTATTATATTTCATCAATCCTTCTGTGCATAAATAATCTCCTGTGATTACCCCTTCCCCCTGTGTGGACACCTCCTCACCTTGCACTGGGCTGCTGCTCTGCCTGGATACCTTCTGTATCTTGCTTGGGCTCCAATGCCCCAAGCTGGACCATCCCCTGCACAGTCACCTTCCTCACCCTGGTCTGACTCTGACACCCTGTGCCAGATGGCCTGGATGGCCTCCTTACCCAGCTTGATCTCTGCACCCACACTAGGCCTCCTTTCTTCCTCTCCCTTCCCCCTTCCCCATGTGGATAGCTATCTTACCCTCATTGGGTTCCAACACCTGGCAACCACAGGCTAACCCTCTGCAGGGACTCCATTCTCACTATGCTCAGGATACCACAGCGGTCTCCCTCTCCGTGGGGGGGACACGCTCCTCATCCCAGTCAGGCCACCTTCCACACAGATGCCCTTCTCACCTGTCTTGGGCTTTGACACCTGCACCTGGCTGACCTTTTACCCAGATGCCCTCCTCACACCTTTCAGCCACCACAGTTCCACACCCCCACCAAGGACACCAACCTTGCTTGGCTCCATGAATTGGCTTTTGGCCTGATTTGTACAGAAAGGAGAGGGAAGAGGATGGGAAGGTAGAGGAAGAAGTGGCAGACCATTAATTCATTCTTTGAAGTTCATTTTTTTAAAGTTTTATTTTATTTATTTATTTTTTGGCCATGCCGCGTGGCTTGTGGGATCTTAGTTCCCCAACCGGAGGTTGAACTGCGCCCTCAGCAGTGAATACATGGAGTCCTAACCACTGGGCCACCAGGGAATTCCCTAAAGTTCATTTTTAATAGAATCATTTTTCTGATATTCACTTCCATTTTGGTTTGGGGCTAGATTTTTTTCTTTTTTTCTTTTTCTTTTTTCTGACTAGATTTATTTCTGACGTCATGTCTGTTAAATTCATGTTTGCCAAAAGAGCCAAAGCTGCCCGCTCAGCCCATTCCTTATCTGTGATGGCCACCATCTCCTCTACCAGAACAAGATGGCTCACACAGGTCAATACACAACAGGTTGCTCACCATTCTTTTCAGTGGGGTTTTTGGGATAATATAGATATGGTTGTGCATATTTAGAAAAAGGGTATCTTGCTTTAATACTTCCAATTTCTTTTCCCTGTTTCCTTTTTTTCTCTTCCTATCAAAACTGTTAATCTTGCTAGGTCAGTTTAAATAGAACCTCAGTTGCCTCTAAATTTCTCCTAGACTTTTTCCCATAGGAAGATACTTCAAAGGTATCTCCAGATCCCAATAAGAATGGATTATTTGCTATTCTTCAAATATGCCCTAGGCTGTTCTACGTGTGAGCCTTTATTCATGCTGGTGCTTCTGCCTGGTCTGTCATCTCATTGCTTCTCCGAAGGTCAAAGCCCTACATCCTGCAAAGTACACTTCATATGCTACCTCCTACCAAAGTCTTTGTAAATATCCCCAACTCTGGACCCCAATAGAACTTTGTATGTATTTATGACATAGATCCTGTTCTGACATATTATCATTGCTGGGAGACAGGAAACTTGTTCTTTAGGTACAGGTACCATTCTTTTTCATTTATTTTCTCCCTGGAGGCCTTGCACATAGTAGAGACTACACATGTTTGTTGAATTGAAACATAATCAAGGTTTCTATACTTTATATTAATTTTTCTTTTTACATAGTACACTCTTCAAAACAAACTCCCTAGTGGTTTTTTCTGGCATGAGACCTAAATTTTTTCCCTCATAGAAGAGAATGATGTTTCGTTTTACCATCCAAAGGACAAGAAAGTTAATGTGTTTATCTTTTTTCCAATATGATGCAATAGGTTGTATTAGTATACCAAGAGGTACAATCTAATCTCAAAGCAAATTCATATTTGCCTATGCAATCCTATATTTTTATCCTGCCCAAATGGTACACCATTTTGACTGTTGAAATTATTAAATATTGACATTGTCCTAGAACATATGCATTACTTTGCATAGTGAATAAAATCATATTTTCACCTGCAGAGAGATGGCCCCAATTCCTCACTCCCCACAGGAATTATGTAATTACAGTAGGAGACCGACCTGCTTCTTTTGTGTTTGTCTTAGCCTGGATTCTCATAATCTGTTCTGAAGTAGGGCAGTATCAAAAATCTAGGCTGCTTTGTTATATTTTTTTCTCCATTTAACTGTTTATTGCAAGGCCAATCATTAGGTTGTAAACTCTTTGACTTGGAGTTGTCTTCCAAGTCTTTTGTATCCTTCTTTTGTAGGTGATGATAGCATACTGTAGATGTGCAATGAATGATTTCACCAAATTAGTCTTAGAGTGCTTGACTTCACTGGGCCGTCACTTCTAAGCTTGTTGTGTTCAGAAGCCAAAAATACAGACTTTTAGTGTTCTTCTCCTGCAAGTTCTTACTGCTTTTAGACCTCTGTTTATCCCTAGTGGCCTGATAGCTATTGCACCAAGTTTTTAGAGTTGGAAGTTTAATGAATTTTAAGATTCTCTCTCTATGTCATGCCTTGAAATTGGAAGAACTGAGTAGAGAAAGAAGGGTTGGGGACCATGAAGAGCTTTCCTGCTTAGAAAGAGAACTCCTTCTGACAGGTATCTGTGGTAGGCTGAGTTATGGCTCCCCAAAAATGTCCATGTCCTAATCCCCGGACTCTGTGGATATTACCTTGTATGGCAAACAAACAAACAACCAAAAACTTCCAAGACTTTGCAGGTATGACTGAGGATTTTAAAATGGGGAGATTATTATGGATTATCTGAGCGGGACCTAAATGCGATTCCATGCATCCTTAGAATAGGATAACAGGACATGTGACACATAGGAGAGAAGGCAATATGACTATGGAGGCAGAGACTGGAGTGATGTGGCCACAAGCCAAGAGGTGCCAGCAGCCACTAGAAGCTGTAAGAGGCAAGAAACATGTTGTCCTACTGTCTCTGGAGGGAGCACAGCCCTGCTGGCATCTTTATTCAACCCAGTGAAACTGATGAACTTCTGGCCTCCAGGAATGTGAAAGGATAAATTTCTGTTGTTTTAAGCCATCAGGCTGTGTGGTAATTTGTTACAGCAGTTACAGGAAACTAATACAGTATCCTATATCTCAAATGTTTCTATATTTTCTTTTTACTGCTCCCCTTATTTAGCCTATATGTATGTATATATCCCATTTTGTTCTTTCTTTTCTTCCTGACAGATTTTTTCCTGTGGGTGTCCCTAAGAAAACAACTTTTCATACCCTTTTCAATTACTTAGATGTTGGGTTTCAAAACAATTTAATAAACATTTAGGGACCATCCACTGTGCCTCTAACATTGTTTAGAGACTTTGGGGGGACATAAAGAATAAACATAAACTCCACCCTCAAATATCTGTAAATTAATTAAGAAGCAGTTTACATAATGTTATGACCCAATGTGCGCTAAAGTACAAAGATAAATACCAAAGACAGGAAGTGCTGTAGAAATTCAGAAAAGTGAGTAACCTGTGAGGGGTATGGAGTAAATTGGGTGGGTTTTATTGAATAGGTGGATCTTGAAGGCCGGCATTTGGACAAAAGGAGAGGAGTTTAGATTTCATCCTCTGGGCAGTGATAATTCATCAAGAATTGCATCCCCACTGTTATTTCTTTTTGCAGTATGAAAGTAATCTAGGCTTTTCTTAATCTAGGCATTTCAGTGATATAAAAATTAGAATGTAAATATATCCCTATAATTCCACTACTCCTGGAGAAAAGCTTTGCTATCAACTTGACATATATTCTTCCAGATTTTTTCTGTACATATGGTAATCTTGCTTATATAATTATTACAGAAATGGGATATGCTGTGAATATTCTTTTGCCACCTGCCATTAAAGACTTTTGAGCAAAATGAAAAGGAAAATCATATTGTAAGATGATTAATCTTACGGCAACATGTATGTAGATCTCCCTACTCTGTTCTAATTACAGTATGGACTGGACTTAGGGGAGAAATGGAAACAGAGAGAGAGAGAGAGAGAGAGAGAAGCTAATGGCTGTTACAATAATGTGGGCAAAAAAAATGAGGGTAATGGCTATGGCAGTAACTGACAAAGTAAGAGATTGGGAAATTTTTCTATTAAGAGTTAGGAGATATATATATATATATTTCCAGATCTTGGGCCACATAAATAAAAACTAACTACTCCTTTTAGCTTTGAGAGAGGGAAAAAGATGAAAGATTCCATTTATCCACATTTTAAGTTAGTCACATGCTCTGATTGTAGTAATAGCAATCCCAAAGGGAAGAAATTGCTTTCTAAGCAGTGACAGCAGGGTTATGTATTTTATATATAATGATGTCTTTTGTGATTATGAAAGCATTATATAATTATAAAAGCATTTGTAGAAAACATGGAAAATATTGAAAAGTAAAACAAAGAATAAAATCACCCAGAACCCCATCACTCAGCCATAACCACCATGTACATTTTGGCGTATTTTCTTTCAGACATTTTCCTGTGCAAAGGAATGCACATAAATGAAATTGAGATAATACAGGATACTTCTCTGAAACATACAATTTTTACTTGGCTGTGTAATAAGCATCCTCCCATGTCTTTAAATATTCTTTTAAAAATCTTTGTTTTGTCAAATTGGCATTTTTATTCATTTTTGTGTGGATTACAACAGTGGTGCAATTTTGTTGTAAAAAATGCAAACAAACACAGAAGCAAGTAAGGTAGAACATGAAAGTCTTCTCATAATCTCACCTCCGAGGGGTATAGAGATGTGCTGGAGTCTGCTCACACTGGCTCATTAAGCTAATTGTGTGCATACATCAAGAGCTTGAAATCAGCCATGGCAGGAGTACTTACACTGTGGAGATCGGCAAACACCACCTATCAACGATTATTTTTCCCCCCTGGAAAACTGGTTGTTAAACTTTTACCAGAACATCACTATGCTATATCCTCCTAGACATTGTCTGTATATTTAAATATTTATTTACATAAACATAGAAAACATCCAATTTTCTTTTTTCCCCCAGCTTTATTGATATATAATTAATATATAACGTGTGAGTTTAAACTGTATAAAGCAGTAATTTGGTACATGTGTATATTGCAAAATGACTACCACAGTAATATTAGTTAACACATCCATCACCTCAAATAGTTACAATTTGTGTGTGTGTGTGTGTGTGTGTATGGTAAGCACACTTAAGATTTGCAATCTTTGCAGTTTTGAAATATACAATATGGTATTGGTGGTTGTTTTTTTTTTTTAGCGGTATGCAGACCTCTCCCTGTTGTGGCCTCTCCTGTTTCGGAGCACAGGCTCCGGATGCACAGGCTCAGCGGCCATGGCTCATGGGCCCAGCCGCTCTGCGGCATGTGGGATCTTCCCGGACCAGGGCACAAACCCGTGTCCCTGCATCTCAACCACTGCGCCACCAGGGAAGCCCACAATATGGTATTGTTAACTGTGGTCACCATGGGGGGTACATTACATACTCAGGACTTAACAAGTGGAATTTTGTACTTTTGACCATTCTCACCCACTCTCTCCTTGCTGTGTCCCCTCACCCCCAACCCTGGCAGCCATCAATCTACTCTCTATGAGTTCAGGTTTTTTTTAGATTCCACATATAAGGAAGATCACACAGCATTTATCTTTCTCTGTCTGCCTTATCTCACTTGCATAATGCCCTCAAGTTTCATCCATATTGTCTATAGCAGGATTTGCTTATTTTTTATAGCTAAGTAATATTCCATTGTGCATTTTTCCACGTTTTCTTTATCCATTCATCCATTGATGAACACTTAGGTTGTTTCCATGTCTTGGCTATTGTAAATACAATGCAATGAATATGGGGGTACAGATATCTCTTTGAGATAGTGATTTCACTTCCTTCAGATACACACCCAGAAGTGGAATTGCTGGATCATATGGTAGTTTTATTTTAATTTTTTTTGAGGCACCTCCATACTGTAGAAAACATCCAATTTTCCCATTGGCTTTGGCAATCCAACAATATATTATGCCCCTCTACTTCAAAACACATTCATCTACCTAATCCTTGCTACTTAGCACTTCACTCTGTGACTGCATTATAATTTATTTGAACAATTCTCCATTGTTGGGTGTTTTGATTGGTTCCAATTTCTGGCTGTTATAAACAAAGTTTCAGTGAATATTTTGTCCATATATATCTGCATATTTGTCAAATTATTTTCTTGGGATAAATTTCTAGTCAGGAGATGTTGAATCAAAGAGTATTCCACAATTTAGATAGATGATACCAAAGTCCCTTTAAACGGTTTCTTATTTTTATACTCCCTTCCCTGGTGTATGACAATGCCCTGAAAAACATAATTTAAATGATTGCATAGTATTTCAGTTTATAAATGTCTGATAATTTATTTGATCAATTTCTTACTATGGTGTTTACAGTATTTCTCATTTCTATAAACAATGTTATAACAAACACCCTTGAAAATCTTCAGGTGAATCTCTTATTTTCCTAAGATAAATTCTTTGATATGGAAGAACTACAGAGTCAAAGGTAAGAATATTTTTTTGACACTTTTGTACATATTATTAGCTTCAGGTCAGTATTTAGTACTTAAGTTTTTTTTTTTTTAAGAATTTACTTGATGCTAAGTAGAAAAAAATTTTTTTCTAATGACTAATATTGTTTTTGGAAATAAAATCTTATGGCTCTTAAATAACCTTTAGGCTATTTTCCATTTAATTACTTCTTTGGGATTTTAGGCCCAGGATTCTACCCTATTCCCCCATCCAAATTTTGTTTCTGTGTTAAGTAGCAGGTTAAGTAGCAGATAAAAAGTATAACATATACATGTGTGTTTGCACGTTGGAAAGTTAAATGTATCCATACATATATATGAATCACTTTTTAAAATTAATTAATTAATTTGTTTTTGGCTGCTTTGGGTCTTCGTTGCTGCGTGTGGGCTTTCTCTAGCTGCGGCAGGTGCTACTCTTTATTGCGGTGCGCGGGCTTCTCATCATGGTGGCTTCTCTTGTTGTGGAGCACAGGCTCTAGGCACGCGGGCTTCAGTAGTTGTGGCACGCGGGCTCAGTAGTTGTGGCTCGGGATCTCTAGAGTGCAGGCTCAGTAGTTGTGGCGCATGGGCTTAGCTGCTCTGCGGCATGTGGGATCTTCCCAGACCAGGGCTCAAACCCGTGTCCCCTGCACTGGCAGGCAGATTACCAACCACTGCGCCACCAGGAAGCCCCTATATGAATCATTATTAACCTTACATAGTCGCACCCATTTAAGGTATGGGATTAACCCTACCTGTCATTTCCTTAATGAGTAACGAAATAAATTGCAGTCAAAGAAATGAAATCTTCACTGGACTCTTTAGGGAAATTTCATATATGAAACCCAAGAAAAAAATCTAAATTTCCCCAGAAGGTAACAGTTACTTTATTTAAATGTATCACTTTATCAGTAGATACATAAAAATCAGAGTGCTTATAGCTGAAAAATATTTCCTTAATGTTTGCCAGTCTTAAAAGTACTGCTTTTTTTTTTAATTGGGAAAAAAGAGAAAACAAATGGATATTTCTAAATATTTTTATAAGAAGTGTTTTGATTACTATCTAAAGTTAGTGTTTTTCAAATCTCTCCTTCACACCCCAAGTCAATTTTTTGTTAAGGAAAAATTGGTGAGGGTATATGTGGGTGTGTGTCTCATTTTGCAGAAGGAGGTCTCTTCAGGGTATACCATCACCACCTTGTGGCCTTTTGCCATATTACTGTTAAGGGGTTTAACACCATAATGCTCTTTTGCAATTGCAAGCATGAAATACAGTGCACCTCCTTTTGGTAATCCTTCTCTGGATTAGATGAAATAAACTGAGGGCCAGAAACTGCCTGCATGTAGGGTTCCCACCCTATGGTGAGATGATGTCCCTGCATTTATGTTGTGTTTTCACATGGTGCTAAAACAACCAGTTGAGTAAGGAAATCTAGTGAAGAGATGTAATGAGCAGTTTTACTGTAAAGTGAAATGTTCAGTTATCTTTTGTGTTTTGTGTTTGCCGAATCTGTTTTAGTGATTCCTTCTGATTTGTAAAAATACTGGTTGGCACGGGAGCCTGTAAATCTCCTTTTTTCTCTGTTTCTTTGGTTATATTGTTGGAGTGTTTTCTCATTTTTGTTTCAATATTCCCCCCTGCCTTTAGTACTATTTTATTATGTTCTTTTTTTAAAAAACTTTTTTTCATGCTTTTCTCTTGTAGATGATTCCTCCTTTCCCTTTGTCTCATTAATATATTTTTCCTTCTTTTCTCTCCTTTCTCATCCTTCTCATTTTCAGTTTCTTTGGTATCCTTGCTGCAGATCACTTTACTTATTAAGCGTCCTGTACTAACATCCACACCCACAACGCCCCCTCCCCCACTTGTGTCCTCCTTTCTTTGTTCCTTCTAATTCCTTCCCCCAGTAGCTGATGTTCCGGCTTTTCTAGTGCCGAGTGCACCGATCTCATCTGGTCTGCGGCTTAGGTCTTTTAAGGACACGGCTTCCTGGTAACCCTTAAACTTCCGGGAGGAACCTAAATCCTACCTATTCAAGGAAGCCAGTGCCTAAACCTAACCCTAGATTCAAGAGAAAAGGTTTCAAAAGGACAGCCTTAGCTTCAGTCCTAAGAAATAGTTAGTGACTCATTATCTTTCTTGTTCATTTTTCTCAACACAAGTGCCAATTTTCATAGGAAGTATACTGGGACATTTTCCAAGCTCATATTTGCCTGTCCAAACTCTCGTTTGCATAGGGAACAGTTATTCACTAGTGCTTTGGAGTTGACATTTGAATCTTATAAAAGTGAGTTAGATGAATGATACTGAGAAGAAAAAGATTGGCAAAAGGCTGTGCTATCATTTTGAAAAACAGCTGAAATTGTATTGTGAGATGTGTATTTCTGTCTTTTCTTGTCTCATCTTCCACCAAAATGCAAGCTTCTGAGAAAAGACACTTGGTCTATTTTGTTCTCTGTTGTATCTCCAGTGCCTAGAATAGCTTCTGGCACAGAGAAGGCACTTAAATCCTCATCGGATGAGTGAATGTATCAGGTATTCTATTAGTTTTGTTTCCATCTCAGTCTGTTCTCTCACGGAGACTTCTGTCCTCTTGTTGCAATCTGGACCAGCATCCCTCTAGGCCTGCAGGCCTAACTATCATCTTGGTATCCTTTTGCCTGTGGCCAATCTTGGGTTTCCTGCCTCTAAACCTTTTCTATTCCTTGGTTTAGTCCTTCTTTTTTGGTGGACCACATTCATCAATTGTACAATTTTTGAGTAACTCTTCCAATTGCTATTGCTGTGTAACAAACAACCTCAAAACTTAGTGGCACTCTTCCACAACACTTATTTATTATCTCCTGGTTTCTGTGAGATAGGAATGCAGGAAAGGCTCAGCTGGGCACTGGTGGCCTGCAGACTGGAGCTGGAACTGCAGGAGGTCTACAGAAGCTGAGGGCTGGTCATACATCTCTACGTAGTTTGCATGGGCTAGTTGGGCTTCTTTACAGCATGGCAGCCTCAGGACTATTGGACTGCTTACATACAGGCTGGCTTCCACTGAATCTCATTATTCTTCCCTAGTACTAAATGATAGCTTGGGGAGAATAAGATTCTAGAATGGATTATTTTCCTTCAGGACTTCATAAGCAATTCTCCATTGTTTTATAACTTTCAGAATTGTGGAATGTCATTAAATTCCAGATCCTCTATATGTTAGCTGATTTTTCTCTCTACAAGTGTTTAGAAAAATCTCTTTATCCCCAGTGTTCTGGAACTTCATGTGAATCAAGGAATAGATTTGATAAACTAACTGAAGTCTTCCTTGGTTGAATTTTAAGTTCCGCTCAATTTTATGTCCCGATAACTGGGTTTCCTCCCATTACTTCATTATTCTAGCTTGAATCATTCTGTCTGTCTTAGTCTGTTCTCACTATTAATAACAAAATACCAAGACTGGGTAGCTTATAAATAACAGAAGTTTATTTCTCACAGTTCTGGAGGCTGAGAGGTCCAAGATCAAATAGCCAACATGATTGCATTCTGGTGAGAGCCCTCTTCCTGGTTTATAGCCAGAGACTTCTCACTGTGTCCTCACATGGTAGAAAGGGCTGAAGAGTTCTGTGGGGTCTTTTAAAAACAAGACTACTAATACTTTTTAAATTACCTAATCACCTCCTAAAGGTCCCACCTCCTAATACCATCACTTGAGCATTAGGATTTCAACATGAACTTTGGGGGACACAAACATTCAGACCATAGTACTAAGAAACCTTTCCTGACTAA